CCTGTTCACAGATCAGTCGTCTCAGCGCTGTGAATGTACTTCCCAGGGAAAAGGGGGTGGGGTGCAAATTGAAAACTTGCAAATCCTTCACTCCTAAGGGATTTTGAATGTGCATTAACAGGGCCAAATAGGAAGGTAGACAACCTTTGCAGAGCACCTCAAAATTGCACTTTATAATCATTCTGCATTGCATCTGTGCCCTGCCTGTTGTGGACATGTTAAAGTAATCTAGGATGTAATATAGGCATTATTGTTTAGGGTAATCTCACAACACATTAATCAAGTAGTGGGTTCCTTTGGGAGGGTAGAGCTAGTTTCACCATCTTACTTACAATATATGAATGTAAATACAGATTTACAGTCCAGCCAGTGCAGTCAAACTCTATTGAGCCGCAGGCTGGAAGAGTATAAAATGTACACTGTGTATAGGCAGTGAAATCCTAGGTAATGTCTGTTCTTCTCACATCTGAAGTGAACAAGGACTACTAAAGAATATAGACTGTTTTAACGTCCTGTAGTAAAGGGAAATTGCTTAAATATATCTGAACGCTCCCATTATGCCCATTTCATAGATGCAAGGTTTAAGTGGTTGCCAGATGTTATACCCTCCTGAGTTTCCAGGCTTGGGCTTTTTTTTGGTACTGTTTATTCTTTCCCCTTTCTGCCATCCATCAGTGTGTAAAGAAAGTTACGCTGATGGTTTGACATTTTTGAGCTTGCAGACCCCTGGCACTGCGCTTGCAGTTCCCTGGGATGCAAAGGTAAAGCCAGTCCTGGAAACCCTGGGGGCATCTGTCCTAATATGCAGTGAGGAGGGGAAGACAGTAGGAAAATTTCTTTGGAAAGTCTTCACAGCATTTTGTGTTGTTCTTCCGTGAAGAAAATCCATATGTCGTGGACTGCTAGGCTTTATGTGTGAATAACTGATGCCGCTAGATTTACACAACTACTTTTTAACGCTGCTTCTGTGTTAAAACAGGCCTCTACAGTGCCTTTTTATGTGGAAATCTTGTAGCTGGGTGTGGTGGGGAAGCCGTTCAGTGACTCATACTGCAGGGAATTCCCTGATGAATTAGAGTATTTTTACTTCTGGACTTGTGCGCAGTTTCCTTTAACGCTGGAGCGAGCGGCTGATAAGAGCAGACTACAAAGGCCCATTCACCATTCAGCTGCTGCATGTTAAAACAGGGTGTTTATGCTTTGCAAAGCTGAAAATCCACCCCACGTAACGTGGTACGTTCACGGTATTTTCGTCATTAGCAATCCCAGGTGCTCCGAGTGTCACGGCGCTGAAGAAAAAAAAAAAAGGCTGAAGCGGCTGGTGGTGAAGTGCACCCAAAGCAAGGATGGCTATAAATAACAGCGCTCGGTCTGTAAATGTCAGGCTTCCTGACAAAACCCGGTGTCTTCAGCTGGCGGCAGCGCTGGTGGCCACCTGTCAGTGCAGCGCCAAGCCTGGGTGCCATCGGAGAGCCCGTGCGAAACAGGGGTTTCTTGCTGTCCCCCAGCACTGCCACGCTCCTGCGCTGCCTCTTCGGAAGAGGAGGGATTTGAGGGTCCTTCTTCCAGCCCTCGGCACAGGTCCCCAGGTGAAGCCTTGGCTCTGTCGGATCAACTGCTGCTGCTGCTGGCACTGGGGGAGCGGGGCACTCTGTCGGGGACTCTGCAGGGCTTTTGACCTGCGGTTCTGTGTGCAGATGTTTTGGTTTTATTTCCCTTTGTTTCCCTTTTGTAAAAAAAAAAAAACAAAAAAAACCCAAATAAAACAAATCCAGTATAATACCTTGACACAACTTTTTAGCTATATAAAGAGATGTCTTTCTGTTCAAAATATTGCACTATAAATCTTAAAAACGCCCAAACAAAGCCAGGCATTTGGTTTGGAGAAGACACTTCTTATTACTTGGTAAAAGTAAATAGCAAAATGAAAGGGAATGAAATGAGACCTTTGGAAAAGCTGTTTTCTCCTTTCTCCCTTTTCCTCCCTGCCTCCTCCTCTCCTTCCTCTCTTGCCTCCGTCTCCCCCCCTCCCTGTATAACAACTGCCCATTTGGGTACGGTAATTCCAGAGAGTAAACTTTAACGGGAATGCCTGAAATGTGTCTGCTTCAGCTTTGTGTTATGTCTGTAATTTGAATTATTTGCATTTTGGAAAGGTATAAATTGCTCTGGTGTACTTTGGTTGGCCGGCGGCCAGGAGGGAGTTGCCTCGGGCCCCGAACCAGGCGGGCTGCTGCAGATGTGGCAGGCGTACAATGGAAACTTTTGTGGTCAAGCAGCCCTCGCTTCTCCGGCACACATTGATGGGAGGCGGCATCCCGCCTGCTCGCCAGGGTCCCCAGCGTATGGGCACTGGGGGCAAACCCGTTCTCTCCAGTGCAGGCAGATGTCTTGATGCGTCAGGCTCCCACAAACCGTTCCGGAGCCATTATTCCTTTCTCTTTCTCTTTTCCCCCCACCTTATTTTTTTTTCTTTTTTTTTAAATTTCAGCTGAACTGTATAAACCTGCAAAACATGTTTACTGTAAGAGGTTGACGTAGTGGTCTAAGGTTTCCCTCCTGGAGCTGGTCCCAGTCCGTGGGCGTTGAGATTTCCCTCTTGGTTCACCAGACGTAATATGAGGAATTGTCTTTTTTTTTTTTTTTTTTTGCTTCATAACAACTTTTCCTCCCTGTGTTTTTGTTAAATGAAATGTCACTAGCTGTTAATGAGTTGTCTATTCCCTACTTCTTCCCTTTCTTTCCCTTCCCCTTAGTTGCTTAGCTGCGATGGTCTGGACAGTCTCAAGGGAATTTCTTGGAGCAAAACCCGTATTGTTCTTATTAGGTTCCAAAGACAAGCCACAGCTCTCGATTTTTATTTTCCTAATAGTTTAGATTACAGCATTTAAAACATTTCTGAACAAACTCTCTTTGTCATCATAAAAATTTCAAAAGTGTATAAAGGCAGTGCTGCGTGAAGTAATTGAAAGATTAGCTAGAGATGCAGTCATTTTGAATTTTACTGAAGTGTTGTCAGGAAATAAAGAACAGAAACCTGAATCAGATCATTCGTCTTGCAAAGCAGAAATTAAACATAGCAAAAAAACTGAACTTATGGTAATCCATTTACAAAGACAAATTGAACAGATGTTAACTACTAGTCTGGACGTCTGTAGACTTTAAAAAAAAACACCAACAAACCCCTTACAAAGCAGAAGTTCCTAGACTTTGCAAAATGTGTGATAGTGTCAGTACTGTGTTACTTTTACAATTGATTGAATTAATTGGGAGGCGGGAAGGGAGTGCTACAGGGACTCTATAGGGAGGGGGCAGGAGATAAAGGAAGCTGCTCCCAGACAAGGGATGTGTCCTGGCTTGCCGAATTTTGGTCAGTTTTTTTCTACTGACAGCTAGGGGGAAGCATCTGTTGGATAAATTGTGAAGTGATTGCCAGTCCTCCTGAGAAGTCTGCTTCAATTCTGGCGCTCTCAAAAGGCATCGTTAAAGAGACTCGAGCATGGTCTGGCTGCTCCTTCTCTCCCCACAGCCGAACGTGGCAGTATCAATTAAAGGGATTCCTTTTTCAGCGTCACAATTTAAAACATAGGAAGAAACTAAGGGTAGATCTGCTAATTGTTTCCTACAGAAAGACCTGCCAAATCCACTGTGCTATTTGTGCTGCAGCTTTCACGTTGCTCTTCTTTCCATACATTGTAAAGAAAGGGTTTTTGGACGTTGAAACAATCGCCAGGGCTAGTCTCTCAGCAGCATTCCTTTCACAGTAGGACAGCTGTACACAAAAATATTATTTACAGACATTTGTAATAAATCAGGCAGTTCTAAATGCGTCACCTCCATCCTGGCCATGAAAGTGAAGAGAGAAGAAAAAGTGCATTCACTCTTTTACCTTGCTGAGAGCTGTTTTTCTAAGGCAGGCCCACGTCTATGTGATGAAGTTCAAAATAGCTAATATTTGCATTTGCACATCCCGATGCTGCAGTAAATATACAAAAGAGATGACATAAAGTCTGATTTTCCCTTTCATTCCGGTGACATCTGACAATGCTGGGACTCATGAAGCTGCATGTGTCCCTGCTGCCCAACTTAGACAGCAGTCTGCTTGTGGCCTTTCATACACGTTTGTGTTTTTCTAGGCCTGCAGAATGGAAACCTTAGGTTTTGTATTATTTTTCTAATTTCTTTGCTGTTGAGTTTTGAAGCCGCAAGGAAGAAAAAAACACCTGTTATTGACCAGTGACTTCTGTATCGGTGAAGCACAAGAAAAAATGACCAGACAAAACCAATTTCTTCCAAAAAACGGGTCCTCAGGAAAAGTGGTAGCTGCAGCTTAAATCTAGGTTTGCTTGAAGATAAAAATTACCGTAAATTAGGTGGACCCAACACACTACTAGAAGCAGCTCCAGAAAACTGTAGGTGGGTCTACTGTAGCTGAGCTAAACCAACTTTAGAATGGAGTGAAAAGCTATGTTTCCCAGTCTATGACCTTGCCTTTTGATCCAAGCAGCACAATTATGGCAAGCCAGGCTAGCATTGTATTAAAATGAAATACTGCATGGTTGAGGAGCTTCCTTAATACTACTTGGGGGGTGGTGGTGTGTGTTTAATTTTAATGTTGAATATGACTTACTGCGTAGGTAGTAATCAAAAGGCCTCATAGGTAGCAGTATTTTTGACTGAAAGTTTGGGAAACTAAGGTGTAGAACAGTTGCGTATTTTGTCCAAACTAGTGGCAGAATAAAATCCCAGTGGCTTTCCCCCATTGCAGTGTCATGCACTCTGGATTGTGGTTCCCCCCTTCAAAAAAGCTAAATGGACTCCTGTCATGGGTTACCCAGATGGCCTCTTGGTTGGGCAATGCTTGGTCAATGCATTTTGAGAGCTGGTTTTCATATATGCAGTGCCCCTTCAAAGAGATTTTTTTGCAAAAGTCATTCTTTTGTAGGCTTGGGAGAGGAAAAAAAGGACAGAACTAGATATCTTTTTCTTTTGTCTTTTAGATGGTCACCATGTGTGGGAAATGGAAGCCAAAACCGACAAAGAAATGTGCAAGCCAGTAAGTCTGCCTTAAATATTTTAACATCAAGATGAAAAATATATCTTGCCTTCTCCAGCACTGTTACTAAAGAGGGATTTCCAAGGCTTTGGCACTGTGTCTCCCCACTGAAACAGAACAAGTACTTAGGCCTCCCCTCCTGGAAATCTTTCTTTAATGGGAGTGTGGGGTAAAAAGCCTTCGTTGGAAGCCATCCCGAAAATAGGAGAGACCATTTGGAAAATATTTTTTCATTGTCTGGGATGGGCCAGCCCCGTCTGCTCATCTTCTGTCTTGCTGGGTCAGTTCTTCCCTCTGCTCCCAAAGCAATTTCTGATCATTTTCCTTGGCTTTCGTTTACCGTCGGCAGAAGAAATGTGAGTCCCCTCACAGGAGATCAGCCCTGCAGTTGGAGAAGTGTGGCTCCCTCAGCCATGACTATAAGTGGGAAATATGGCCACTATTTCACCTCTGCGGGAATATGCAACAGTTTGTTAGCTGCGAACCTGCTGGAGACATGCAGGCAAACAATTTGAAGACCTCAGCTGAATGCAGGCCAAATGCTAAGACGAGTGTTACCTTTTATTCTTTCAAAAAGTGGCAAGGGAGGTTTTGATGGTCATAGCAGATTTCACTGTGCATTTGTGTAACCTGATGCCCTAGCAGCGAAGTCATTCCTTAGCCCCGTGTTGGAGCATTTGGTTTCTGACATGGAAGATCATCTACATGCTCTCCAGCCCTTCTTCCTGTAGCACTAGATGTTGTTGCAAGATCTTCCATCCGCAGATGGAAGCAAGCTTAAAATGTCCTGAGTTGTTATATGAAAAAAACATTTCACTGTGGAAAATGGAAATATTTGAATAGTCATATGCCTGTCCTAATTCTCCTTTCAAAGGAAGTTGTATTAGGGTGAGCTATACTGGGGATAACTACCCAGCCAAGTGGTTGTGCTTTCTCCTGCTGAGTTAGAGACCATGATTTGATTGTTGTCGCAGATTCCTGTCAGAGGCAGGTGGGATAGAGCCTTGTCCATGCGTGCCAAGGGGAAGAGGTGAAGGCTAGTGATTTTGTAAAGACCTGAGCCATGCTAAAATCTTACTTCCCTGCTTCTAAAGTCCTTGGCACAGAGGACGCTGGGGGCGGCGGGAGGCCATCCCTGCCCATGAAGCCCACCAGTACCCCTGCAGACAGCGTGTTCCTCCTTGTGAGCCTGCACACTTCCTTCTCGGGGTTAACGTGGATACTATTGTACAGCTCAACTGCCTTAGTCGTGCCTTGACTTTCTGATTTGTTGCTTTTGCAGAATTCGTTGGTGGTTGAGATACCACCTTTCCGCAATCAGAGGATTACCAGCCCTGTTCAGGTCAACTTCTATGTCTGCAATGGAAAGAGAAAGAGAAGCCAGTACCAGCTTTTCACCTATCTTCCTGCTAATGGTAACAAAATATATTCATTATCTCTGTTAGTAAAAATGAGAGATGATAGTGATTACTTACAAAGATATATGGCTCTGACAAATCTTTAGTAACCTGACTAATTTGGAGGTATACCTAGTGCTATAAAATGAGAGTGAGAATCAAACCATAAGAGCTGCCTTTCTCTGTGCTGCCCACAGGAGACCACCTCTGCAGATTGTTTTCTTTTGTATTGGGGGTAGAGACCTGTTGGAACATGAGCTTTTTCTGCTTTTGGGTGCTGAAGAGCCCCAGCACAAACTCACATGTGTAGCCACAAATTGTGAACGTGCTGAGCTTTCTGCTAAGTTGCTGTCAACCCTTGGTCTGACTTTGTGGCCCCAGAGGGTGCATTGCATTTGAACAATACTTCTGAATTCTCACCACAGCACTGTAAGTGTGCTGGACTCTGAGCTGGAGGTCGTGTGGGGATTCTCCTTCCAGTCATCCTGCACCTTCCTGTCTTGCGTTGGGTGAAAATAGCAGTCCAGGCTGATGCTGCTCTAGGGTAGCAATGAAAAGCACAATGTGGATGGAGATCAGAGTGCTCCATACAAAATGCTTCATGTATAGAAAATGTTCAGAAACACGTGTGCCAGTTTATTTTGGAAGCTTATATTGGTGGCTGTGAAGTGACAGTAAAGTACTTGTGCTAGCTGAATTCCAAGCAGGCTTGTATGAAGATTTTAAGAGCAAGTAAATTTAGATTTATTTTTTTTTTTGCTTGATATGGCTCTTTTTCTGAGAACACTTTTTCTGGGAGAGTAGGAAAAAAGAGTGGTTGTTTTGGTTTTGTTGTTTTGGAAGGAAGAGGAATTAGAAAAATGATTAGGTTCCTGCTTTTTTGTAGACTTTCCAAGTGAAAATAGTCCTTCTGAGGGAAATTCCCACAAAGCAATACTTGAGTCACATCACATGACTTGAAGACACCTGCCAACTTTTTGCAGGTGAAATACCATAAAATACACATTTGGAATTTCATCTAGTTAACTTGCATGCACTCCAGACTTTTATCAGGACTTTAATTTAAAATAAAAATACAGGAAACCTGACATGGGCAACTGACTGCTTATTGTGTAGCAATGCTTCGCTGAATCAGCCTACTTATGCAAACTTCATCCCCAGTGGGTATGTCTGTGTATATTTAAAGACTGTTCATCTCTTAAATTGGAAAGGAAAAGAGTTGTTACTCTCTTGCACAACACTTGAGAAACAAAAATTTATTGTAGAGGCCAACAGGTACTGCTTTGCCACCCAAGTTACCCTCATAAGTATTTCAAATACATGCCTGCTGTTAACTGCTCTTGACTAAGTAGCGTCTTTCCTCTCCTGCTCTTACATAGGCCATTTTTACCATTTTATTCTAAACCATGGGAATAGTATTCACTGCTACAAAGTTGGTTTATGCTACCACCATTCTGAGTTTGAAACATTTGATGTTTCATTTGATGTGAAGTGATGGGAATAGCTACCTAGTGACAGGCAACAGAGAACCAGCCAAGGCTTTATTCTGCAAAGACATCTATAATTATGGTAATTGTTGAAAACATTGGGAATCTTGTTTAGTCTGCTGTACTAATTTAAATTCCTGTGAAATATTTTCACTTCAGTGTGGTAAACCTGAAAGAAAAAATATAACACTAGAGTAAAGGAAAGGGAAGCAGGTATTGAATAATAAATATGCCTTCCCCCCATTCCTGTTTGCTTCTCCAATCACATTCTCTTAATATATATGTTTATGTGCATATAGGTAATTGAAAAACATCTTATGTTCTTTGCAGACTCTCTCATAACAGTGGTAAGAGTGAATGTACTTCTGCAATCATCAGAATTAATAGTATAGTATGTTTTTATTATGCCTGTGTTGTAGCTATAAGGTTTTGCCCTTACATTGCTGGTGGTTGTTTCCATTGTGCCTTTCAAAGGTAGATATGATCACCTTGACTACACATTCAGAAACCATGCACAATGAACTGAATCAGTCATTTACACTAATGTATTTATAGGAGTCATTTTAGGATGTTCTGCTTTATTTTATTTTAGTCACAACTTTCTTTTAACGTTTCAAGGCATTGTAGAAAACCAAGGTTTAGCTCATGAAGAAAAAAATAGTTGAGTCAACAACCACTGTGTGATCAGTGTAAAAAAATGTAAAGGAGATAAGTACTATTTTGGTCCAGGTAGCACTTTGTCTCTTGTTTAAAAAAATTCCATGAACACAGAAGCTGTAGGTTTTTGACAAGCAAACGTCAAAGTGATCATCAAGTGTAAGATGTGGTTTTACACAAATCAGATGGTATCCTGTAAGCTTCTTCTCCATCTGTGCTTTAGGACTAGCCAAATGCTAGTGCTTACCATAATTTTGCAGATATTTCTGCATGAGGGGTCGTTATAAAGCTGCGTGACGCACGTGAGACGTACATTTTACAGCTCAACTGGACTGTGCCAAAGCAAAATATCATATATGGACTAAAGTCTAGATATTGTGTGAGCCCGCTGGCCGTGCTCCTGGGGTGGGTGTGGGCACATGCAGATGATGCAACCAGTGGGAGAGCCATGGGCTCGCTGTGTGGTTCCCACTCTGACCACAGAGCAATAGGTTTGGTGTTTTTTTTCCTGTAGCTCCTGTTTCTCCTCATTCCCTAGGGGAAAACAGCCAGTGGATCCAGGGACACGTGGCCTCACTCATCCCATCTCCTGTGGATGGTCCTATAGCATCTCCATGGAGTACAGCTCTGTGATGTGCAGCCAGCACAAGCTGCCCTCTTCAGCAGAGTGTTACAGTTTCACCGCCATAAGGCTTCTCCCGTGCGGTGGACATATGGCAGGATTGTACTTTTCCTCTTTGTTAGCTCAAGTGTTTTGCAGAGCAGGGACTTACTTGGTGAAGACAAGTTCCTGCCTCAGAAAGAAAAAAATGCTGTAAAAATGAAAATCTTACTGCTTTGTAAATGAAAAGTTTAAATAACAAAACAAAAGAGAAAGTAGAGGCTTCATAAATGAGGGTCAGGGTCTGGAAAACAGGCTTGCTTCAGTCTTTGTCTTGGGACAGACCGTAAACCTAAGTACTCATAATCCACTTTTAATTGAACTTTTGATTTACTGTTCTGCTGAATTTGAGCAATCCCCAAATCTTGTATTAGCCTATACTGTACAGAAGTGACTATAATGTAATTTTTTTTAGTGTTGCTTCGACATTATGCATGGCTGAGCAATTGCATGTCAGTTTTGTCCTGGAGCTTGCAGGCTGTAGGCTCTTGAGACTCTTCCCCAGACATGCCTGTCACAGAAATATAAGTAGTTTCCATACCATTCTGGCACAGGTGAATTCCCACAGCTCGTGTGGTAAGTACTATTACGTTTTGCATTGCCACATCCCATCAGAATGTGAGGAGGAAGGCGCAGGACTGGATGCTGCAGTCAGGAGTCTGAGCAAAGCACACTGAGCAGACGCTTGGATATTCGGCTTTTAAAGTCTCTCCACTGCTGCAGCTCTGTGCAGGCATGCTCTGTGGCTCCGTTATGCGCAACAGAACATTTCAGAAAACCATTGGTGAACCCTGCATTTGTGAACCCTACCTTCCAGAAAAACACTTGGTTTTCATTTCTGTTTATGACTGCGTATCATTTTGCTTCTATGGATTTCTTATACCATGGGCCCATAAATGCATTTCAAACAGGAGGAATCTGTTTGAAATTCTGAAATCACTATATATAAGTGGTAGCGTTTGAGGTATAAACTAATCTGGAGAGGCTGAAGAAGCACACAAGCAATCAGACATGTATTCTCCAGCTCAGAAGACTTTAAAGAACACACTGCATGATAAGGGTTAGATCTCTGTTTATTCAGATTTCTTTTAATTAGGTACATCAAAACAGAGGAAACATGTTGAAAAACTTATTTTTTGCAGATAAGAGCGAATGCTGTCTGTGATTTCTGTTATCTAATGAATATTGATATAAAGAACGGTGAACACAGAAAAGTTTTTCTTTGCATTTTATTTAGACAAGTAGTGATATTTGACTTAGCAAAGACAGGCTAGTTTGTCTAGGAAATATTTAACAAGATGGAAAAAGGAAAGTTGATGTGTTTCTTTCACTGGAATGAAAAATACGCTTTTGCAAAGAGTTGATGGTAAAGTATTTCCGGTTTCTGTTTCTGTCACGCTTCTTAATTGTCAAAGCATTATTAAAAAAAATCATTTCACTACTTCTAGTGTTTATTAAAATGGCATTGATATGCTGATCAACTTTTATTTTGGGATGCGCTTTGCCACCCATAGGGTCAGATTTCCAAGTGCATAGCCTTCACTGGCAGACACAGCTTTTCTGCAGTTTCTTTGCCTCCCTGCAGGCACCTGCACAAGCCCCCGGGGTGCTGAGCTCCTCTGAAAACCTGGCCACGTAGACAAGTGACTTGATGGGGATGGAGGTCCTTTGAATCTGTGGGTACGGAGCTGTGCTGAGAGCCTGCCTGTGGTGACTAGGGGGGTGCCTTAGTATTGCTGTTTACAAGCCTGGCGGCGTGAAAGTGTGCGTCTTGAGAGGGTGAGGGGTGCCCACTGCACATTGCTGCCGGCATCCTCCTCGTTTCCTGCCCCTGCGCTAAAATTACCTCCTGCCTGCCCCGCAGATGAGTACAATCAGCAGTTTTCTAGTGATTGCATTGAGCAGCCGTGCCTCTGTTTCACCTCAGGTCTTCCGCCCACAGCTCACTTTCTAAGTTAAAAGGCAACATCAGCCGCCTTAGCCGAAAACAATAAAATGGGGATGCAAAGCATTGCCGCTCTAACGTGACACGGAGCACGGCTTTTACTGATCATCTCCTGGCACCTCTCACCTCTTGAGTATTTGTTGAATTTTCCTGCTCGAGGCTGGCAAAATGATTAGTCTGCAAAATGGTGGTAATCTGGGGGCGGCTGGGGAAGCGGGGCCAAATTCAGTGCATGGCCTGTGTGAGGATCCTCACCGGCGGCCTAGCC